AATCCTTAAAGAAGTTAATGAAGTACAGACCTTTCAAGCAGGGCGTTATGTCAGCAGTAAAGAGGCAGCGTGGCATCTCCTTGGCTTCCCTTTACACGAAAGGTACCCAACAGTTACTCACCTTGCTGTGCACTTAGAAAATGGAGAGCGTGTATATTACACTGAAAGAAATTTCCAAGAAAGAATTGCATCACCGCCAAAAACTACACTAACAGCCTACTTTCAACTTTGTCAAACCGACTCCTTTGCAAAAACGTTGTTATATTCTGAAGTCCCCAGCTATTACACTTGGAACACATCTAGGAAGGAGTGGAAATGCCGTATTCAAAGCGCGCCTGTTGCGAATTGGCCCATGCCTTTGGTCGTGTGTATACCGTCCATGTAAATAATTTTGAATGTTTCTGTTTACGATTGCTGTTGCATCATGTTCGGGGTCCTATAGGATATAAAAACCTTAAAACTGTCAACGGTCAGGAATGCGCAACTTATAGAGAAGCATGTGAAGCTCTGCATCTTTTAGAAAACGATAATCACTGGGATGAAACCATGGAGGAAGCTGTGCAGTGCCAGTCACCAGCCAAAATTAGGGATCTTTATGCAACTCTCATATCATCTTGCGGGCTATCTAATGCACATGAATTGTGGGACAAATATAAAGAGTACATGGCGCAAGATATTTTGCGAAGGTTAAAGCAGACACACGCGAACATGACATACAATGAACACATTTATAATGAAGCACTTGGAAAAATTGAAGATAAAGTAATGGCAATGGTAGGCAAAAAATTAAGTGCTGGAAGCAGCGAAACTGAAAATGAACTAAGTGATGAAATTATACGTGAAACAAACTACGATATACCAGCTTTGCAGCAGCAAGTAGCCGAATTTGTACCCCGCTTGCTTCCCGAACAAAAACGAGTTTTTGACAAAGTATTAGGACAAATTGAATCTGGAAATGGTGCACTTTTCTTTTTAGATGCCCCTGGAGGAACTGGGAAGATATTTTTGTTAAATTTATTATTAGTGCTAATACGGAAAGATAAAAACATTGCTGTGGCCGTAGCTTCCTCCGGTATAGCAGCCACGCTGCTAAACGGGGGCCGCACTGCACATTCTGTTTTAAAACTTCCTCTAAATCTAGCCCAGGAAGAATCGCCGATCTGCAACTTTAGCAAAAATAGTGCACGAGGTATTATGCTACGACAATGCAAACTTTTAGTGTGGGGCGAAAGTACAATGTCGCATAAAAAGCTGTAGAAGCACTAAATCGACCGCTCCAGGATTTGCGCAGCAATACCGATGTAATGGGAGGAATGGTGGTTTTACTGGCTGGTGACTTTCGTCAAACTTTACCTGTAATTCAAAAGGGCACACCTGCAGATGAAATTAAAGCATGCCTCAAATTGTCTATTTTATGGAACAAGGTGACAAAATTCAGTTTAATTACGAATATGAGAGTGCATTTGTATAATGATATCAATGCTGGAAACTATGCTGAAACACTTTAAAAATTGGCGATGGGCGGTTGGAAACGGATGCTGAAGGCTCAGTTAAATTGACGAGAGATTTTTGTAATTTAGTACAGAGTCATTCCTAATTAATTGCGAGCGTTTATTCAGATTTAACGAACAACATGCATGAAGACAAATGGTTATGTGAAATCTTCTTAATATTCTTGAATCAAAAATGAGAGCGTTAACAAAATAAATTCAGATGTATTAAACGAAGTAGCAGGAGAAATAACAGAGTATTTGTCAGGAGACACAGTTATGGACACAGAACAGAGCACTTCATATCCCGTAAAGTTTCTAAATTCTCTAGAGTTGTCAGGTGTGCCCTCACATAAGCTTCAATTAAAATTAGGCGTCCCAGTCATGCTAATGCGAAATTTAGATGCTCCTCGGTTATGTAACGGGACAAGGCTGCGTGTGACACATCTTGGACGGAACATAATCGGTGCTACAATTTTGACAGGCGTAGGAAAAGGTGAAAATGTTATTATACCACGGATCCCTATAATGATTTCCCACAGATCTTCCTTTTTCAATTTAAAAGGTTGCAGTTCCCTATTAAACTCAGTTTTGCAATGACAATTTATAAAACGCAAGGGCAAACGTTACAGGAAGCGGGGGTCAACTTAGAAAAACCGTGCTTCTCTCATGGTCAGCTGTATGTAGCGTGTTCGCGTGTGTCAAATGCCCAAAATCTCCACATTCTTACCCCGAATGGAAAAATATATAACATTGTGTACAGTAGCGTCTTAAAATAGTGTTCATTTAGTTTTTTTTCTAAAATTCCTACAATCAATTAATCAGAATTCCCTCAGATCTTCCCTTTCAATTCAAAATTTCCTATTTAGCTCAGTTTTTTTTCAATTCCAAATGCTGCACCTCTGACGGACCTATTAAGCTCAGTTTCCTTTCAACTCAAAAGGCTGCACCTCTGACGTATACGCTGCGTTTCAAAACATTTAAATAGGCTGACGAATCGATTTTGCTCAGTTTCCTTTTAATGGCTGCATCTCGGATAAATTTATAAAAGTCAGTCTTCTTTCAATTTAAAAAGCAATGGATAGTTCATTTCCCAATGACAATGCGGGCGAAGCCGCGGGTAACAGCTAGTATACTATAGAGCGGACATTGGTAACATTTACATACAAAAACTATGACCTCGCGATTGTGTTACACCCTCTAATGAAACGTAGCAATACCATCCTGAAGATTTATTTGGAAAACATTTCAGCTATTCCTCATTAGGTGACACTACTAAATACAAGGTAAAATCCGTTTTAGGCAAGTCGTCAATTACTAACATACTGGTAAATAAATAGTGTCGTTACTGGATAACAGATGGCACTTATTGCAATAATTTTTCTTTCTTCTAGAATAATCTACTATAAATAATAAAATTTCAAGATTACATGCATAATTTACATTATTCTTACGATAATAAACCGAAATCATGTTTATTTTTTACTCCATATCGTGACTTACAATACCTTAATTCCCAACCGGTCATATTTTCTTAAAAAATATTTTTTTAATTTATGCAACGAATGCGTCTTGACCTTTTGACGATGTCTCTAAGACTAAATAACAAAAATCGGAGATATATCCTATAAGATAAAAGTTACAGACGACAATTTTGTTGCTTATGTCCGGTCTATTACTACTACATACTTAAATGTCTTTGGTTCGAACTCAGCCTGATATTAATCACCAAATTAAACTTCACACATGCTATGATCACTAGTTGCAGCTGTTCATTAATTAGCAAGGTCTCTGAGACCAAGTAATTAGGAGTCATAGTTGACCAACATTCGTCATGGCATAGACACATTGAATTAATTATGAATAGTCTTAGGAAACTTACATGAGCATTTCAAACACAACTTTTCTTCTCCTTGACCAATTCGTTCGGGGAGAGAACACTGCGACAGTCTTCCAAAAGTGTGGTCACTCTCGTTTCTGAATCCTTGCTGGGGGTCCCACTCGATATATATTGGCACCGACGTAACCAATCCGCTTCCTCACAAGTACCAACCAGTGTGCCTTTTTCTATAATCTGTTCTCGGTCGCAAAGGTTCAGCACACGTACTCCTGAGATGTCAGTGGTCCTGACCAAGGTTCGAGCTACTTTACATGGAAGGTCATTGTTTACCCTTTCCACAAGCACACAACGGTGGGCTTGCCCAGCGTTTTGAGGAAGACTAACCGGAACAATCGTTTCCGATCTCGGCGGAAGAACAATCTTCTTAATGCTGTACACGTTCCCTGGTAACGCACCTTCCATAAAAAGTTCCTCTTGTTCACATTTCAAAACACCTTGTCGATCTCACAATAATTATTCCTCATAAAGTCTAGGCCTAGGATGCAGTCGTCCATTTTATCAGCCACGATGACATTATGCAAGTAGATCACGTTGCCTAGCTTCAACTCCATCTCCTTCTCTCCACGGACAGATATACGCTGACCGGTGGCTGTTACCAAATTAATGCGTTCTCGGTTGTATGCGGAGTCCCCAAGGAACTGACTTATAAGTTGGGAACTAACAACCGTACGAGAGGCTCCAGTGTCTATGGTCAGTATGGTGGTTTGCACGGCATTCCGTTGACCTCGCCCTTGATGATTAGACTGTTCCCATCATGGGTTTGTGAGATCGAGATCCTTGGGGCTCTTTTAACATCAGCCAGCACCCGCCCCGCAGTTCTGGCTTTTACTCGTTTCCCTGCTGCTGCTGGGCGGTGCTGTTGGCCGCACTACCTCCTGAGATCGTTCACCTTCCCTTTCTAGGGTTCGCTTAGGGCAGCTGGATCGAAGATGGCCCTTTTCCCTACAGCCATAGCACCTAGGGCTGTATCCTTTGTTGCGATCGCGAACTGTAGCTGCTGCAACCTCCCTGACGCCATGGGAACGATGATCCTGCCGCATGGCTTCCACCTCCAGTGCATGGGCCAAGGCATCCTTAAGCGTCTCGTGGTGCCCGAGCCTCACAGCAGCTCTGACTTCCAGGTCGCGGATGCCGTCGATGAATGCCTGCACCAGGTTCCCTTCAATGAGCGCAGGTACAGACTGGTATGCTTTTCGCACCAGCTTCTCCACCTCTAGAGCCCACTGCTGCAGGTTTTCGATGATGCGCTGCACGCGATTTTTAAGCTACGAACGAAAGCCGTGTTCCAGGTGAGCGTCGCCATATCTCGCCTCCAATGCCTCAAGGAGTTGCTCATAAGTCACTTCCTCACCGAGAGCTTCCAGAACTGTTAAGGCCTGGTCGCGCAGGCCTAGTGTGAGAGCAGTCATGGCCTGACTTTTATTCCAGCCGTTCGCCTTCATAACAGCCTCGAACTGGATTTTGTAGGCTGACCAGGAAGAAGTCCCGTCGAACGGTGGCACCTTGAACCCACGTAGCGTAATGTTACGATTACTTTTCGTAATAAACGCAAGCATTCCGACGGCGAATATGATCAGGTCCAATGTCAACTCTCTGATATTCAGAAAAAAATGACCGAAATGATGACATTCTTAACTTCATCAATTAATGCGCAGAAAGAGAGTGCTAATGAAATTAGAAATGACATCGCAATGATAAGATGTGAAATTCAAGACATTAGAGATGCTATGCGATCAACTGAGCAACGGATAACAAACCTAGCGACAAATCAAAGTAGCATTCAAGACGAAATACAAAGTCTTAAAAACTTTGCAGAGAAAGCTGGGGATAAATTAGTGTCACTGGAATCTAATGTAGAAAACTTAAAAAATCTACCAAGCGATACATCTATAAAACGCTCCTATGAAGAAATACTGTCTGAGTTAAACGACCAAAGTATGAGAAAGAAGAACATACTTATTGCTGGTATTCCCGAACCTCAGTCAACGGACGCCAAGGAACGTATTGATATAGACAAAAGTAAAGTAGTTGATGCTATCAAAAACTTACTCAAAGACTGCCCTGAACCAAAAAAAATGTATGCATTGGAAGATACAAACCAGGAACGAATCGTCCAATAAAAGTTACATTTGAGTCGGAAGAAATTGTAAAGCTTATTTTGCGCAACAAAGGAAACATAAAAGATAGTAAAATTAAATTTTATGCTGATCAGACACCATTCCAGTAAAATCAACTAAAACTTCTGAAAGAAGAACTGAAACGTAGAACTGAAGAGGGAAAAGAAAATATACGTATTAAGTATATTAAAAATGTACCGAAAATTATTAAAACATTACCAAAAAAAGTTCGATGCATGAGTAACAAAGCAAACGAACATAATACTACTTACCAAATAACAAACAATTATATTAACCTTATAAACAATAAACAATCTTTAAAATTCTTATACGCAAATACTAGAAATATCGTAAAGCCTGGAAAATTCGATGAATTGAGGTGTGTTGTTGAATCTTTCAAATCTACGATACATGTGCTTATTCTTACTGAAACATGGATTAAGTCTAATGATGAAGCCAAGAGATTTCAATTACCCGGATAGTATATCCGGCACTACTATCAGCACAGACAAAATGTTATTGGCGGTGGAGTGATATTTTTGTCCACAACATTCTTAAACATTATAACAACACATAGATAAATTCTCACTAGATATTAGCGCAGTATATAAGCCTGGTAGAACAAACGTTACAAAATTTCTAGAAACTCTTTCATTACAACTACATCATAAAAAAAGAGCCGTAGTATTTGGTGACTTTAATCTGGACCTGCTCAACCTGGACAGCTCAGTTGAAGAATATAAAAATACACTCCTAGAATGCGGCTACTCAATAATTAATAGAATGTGTCCTCAGTATTGTACTCACGCGTAAACATCAAAAAGTAAAACTATTCTTGATCATATATCTACAGACTTAAAGGAAAACAAATTAGGCAATTATTGAATCGTCTATGTCAGACCATAAGCAGATCTTTTTTTGAAATAAAAGAATACAAACCAGAACCTAAAGAAGGAATAGAATATGAAGCATTAGATTACAAAAAACTATATGAAACGCTAGAAAAATCAAACGTAGAATGTACCGAAAATAAAGAATACACAAGATTTGAAGAAAAACTTATGAAAAGTATAGAGAATTGGAAGGTAAACAAAGTCAAAATTAAAAATCCATCGAAGCAGGAATGGATTAATAAGGGAATAATTAAGGATATTACTTATAAAAACATACTCTGGCAATAATACAAACGCCATCCAGATAATAAACTCGCCAAGGACAACTTTCTAAAACAAAGGAACCTAGTAGCTAATAAAATTCAAAGAATGAAACAAGAGTACTACTACAAGAAATTTACAGATTATAAATGCAATCCAGCCAAGATGTGGAAATTAATAAATAACCTCAGCAATAACAAATTTAGAGAAATATCGATACCACCTAAATTACTAATAGGAGGAACTTCGGTAACCGATACAAAAGAGATCTGCGAATGTTCCAACCACTTCTTTTCATTTATTGGAGCTGAACTAGCACAAAAAATTCCCCTTCAGTACCATGATAACAGAATCGTTACAAATGTAAAAGTTAACAACAACGATAAAAGACTAACGGCAATGGCATCGGCTTCAGTTGAGGAGGTAATTAAAATAATAGACAACTTAGATCCAAATACTAGCTCGGGCATTGATAACGTCAATACTAAGTCCATAAAATGCGTAAAAAACCTTATAGCTCCAGATTTAACTCGATGCTTAAATAGTTGTCTAGAACAAGGTATATTTCCCAGTAGTCTCAAAATCGCCAAAGTCACCTATTCACAAATCTGGCAGCAAAATCGACCCCGGCAACTACCGGCCTATATCGGTTCTTCCCGTTGTCTCTAAAATTTTCGAGAAAATTATTTACAACCGACTTGAGACTTATTTAAATTCTATCCATTTTCTTTATCACAAACAATATGGTTTCAGACCCAAATCTAGCACACTATCAGCGACTGTAGACCTTGTTACCAAAATAAAAAACAATATAGATGAAAAAAATGTTGCTCTTGGCATCTTCATTGATCTAAAAAAGGCGTTCGATACAGTCTCACATAAAATACTTTTGGATAAGTTACAAGATATATGTATAACAGCAAAGCCTCTTGAACTTCTTAATTCATACCTCTCCGACCGTTATCAGATACTTAAACTCGCAGAACACAAAAGCAGCCTAAAACAAATAACGTACGGTGTCCCTCAAGGCTCCATTTTAGGACCATTGCTTTTCCTTATTTACATAAATAACGTAAGCACATTAGAACTAAAAGGAGACCTATCACTGTATGTGGACGATACCAGCTTATTTTACTTCGGTAACAATATTGAATCAATTAATCAAGACGCGCAGAATGATCTAAACATACTTAGTCAGTGGTTTTGCTCAAATCTACTTACAATAAACGTAGCCAAAACAAACTATATGATTTTTGCAGCAAAGAATAAAAAAATACCCGATCTCACACCTCTAAAAATTAATGACATAGTAATCAATAAATTAACAAGCGAGAAGTATTTGGGCCTTACTTTAGATAACCAACTGACTTGGAAAGAACACTTGAAAAAAATAAAACAATAACTGATATCCCTATCCGGAGCACTACGCGGAATAGTTCGCTGCCTTCCAAAAAAAGTCCGTTACACTATCTATAACTCCCTAGCTAAGCCACACATCGATTATCTGGTAGAAATCTGGGGATCGGCTGCCAAAACTAATCTCAATTCTGTTCAAATCGCGCAAAACAAGTTGATCAAAATTCTTTTTGGTTATGATTTCCTGACATCTACAACCAAAATATACAAAGATACTAAAATACTTAATATAGAACAATCATACAAATACTTTTCCTGCGTACTAATACGAAAAATTTTTAAATAAAAACATACATACTAACTTAACCTTTACAAAAAAAGAAAAATGTGCAAACTAAAATGTTAAGAAGTGCTAATAACTTAATTCTGCGACGGCCAAGAACCAACTACAAAATAAAAAATAAAAAAGAACATCACTTATGAAAGCGCACAACTATACAATAAATTGCCTGTAGATATTAAGGAAGCTAAAAGTATGCTAACATTTAAAAGACTGTTAAAAATAGCCTACAAAATCACAAACTATAATAACACCCTAACTACTTCTAAAAAAAAAACTATTAAACAAATAAATATATAATAAACGAATAAATATTAAAAACCATCACCACGGTTACTAAATATCATTAAACATTCATATTAATAATTAATATAATATACCAATATTTCAATAATTCTCGTTATGATGGCTAGTCAATTCCAGCAAAGAATCTTTAAATCCACGTATCTGTGTTCGCTTGCACCGTTTGTTTTTGTTTGCACGGGCGATCTTTGATCCTGTTATGATGGTAAAATTTCTACCCGCACTATTTATATAATTTTGTAACATAAAATATTTGTGTACTTTGCCTGGCACGCTCGGTGACCACTTACAGGTAGTATCACAATTATGTATTTTGTTTTTAATGTATTTCTCATTTAAGTGAATTTTTGTAAATTCTTATGAGAATAAAGGTCTTTGATCCTAAGTTATCCAAAATTTACTATTAAAAATAAAACCATATTTATTTAGCTATGTATAAAATTATTATAGCAATACATCAAGTTGAATTTTTATTTTATTTTTTTAGAGTTTTCAAAAAGCTTCAATGTATAGAATTTTGAGAAACACAATGGGTGTTGTAATCTGTGCTTAAAATGTCAAGTATCTTCTTAGTAGTATGTGAATGTCAATAAAACAAGTCTTGAAACTTAAAAACGAAATTTTTGTTTTCAATGAAAATTGCATTATGTTTATTTTGTTAAGTTTCACATATATAATACATATGTAACTATGATACTAATACTTCGAGTATACTTATACTGGTAAAACTATGAAATGTTTTATAAAAAAATAACATTTTAATAACCTCTTTGTAATTTTCGTTGCAATATGAATCCTAAGATCTGTGTTATTTGTCGCAATTCAAAACCTATTAATCAAACCGACAATCGCTTAGTGACTGAAAACTGTGGCCATGTTAAATGTATGGACTGTTTGCTGCTTGAAAAATCCGGTTGTGTGGCCTGTGCAAGAGAGAGTAGTGATCAAGAGTCGGGAGAAGATAAGCCAGGACTTAAAGACTTGTGTAAAAAGAAGAAACCGGAAACGTCACACGTTAGAATAGTAACAGGTATTGCAGTTACAGTTTATTTTTAGTATGTGTATATAGTTTTGTTTACCGTCAAAAATGTTATTTAAACTTAAGTTGGGTATTTCTTTAGTAACCTGCCGCACGAATTTATGGTCGCCGAGTGGGTGGATAGATGGGGGGAGGGGTAGGAACCTCCCCTAAAAGAATTAAGTGCCAGAAACCAGAAAAAAAGTGGGGGGGTCCCTTTTTTTTATGAATTTTTTAGTAATGAGGCAGGCATGAATATATGGTCGCCGAGTGGGGGGGCTGGGGTTGGAACCGCCCCATAAACGGGGGGGCTCGCCTCTGCAGCTCTGGCTTATTGGTCGCCTTCGGCGACCAGCCTCAGCCGCTCCGGCTCGTTTAGGTGCCTGCGATTTGCTACAGCGGGCGGGGGCTGCTCTCCCTCCGTGCCTACGGCTATACAAAAACACTAGGGGTAGGGCAGACAAGACTATGTGGAGTCGTGGTGTGCTATTTCGGTTTTAGAACTGATTCCACCAATTTTATCTATAAAGTCTAGTTGCTCTTAACTCTGCTACTAGAGTGGTAAATTAAATAATGTAATGTGAATTGTTATAATTTTGTTTTCTGAAAAACCTTTTGACTGCTCTCCACTGCAACACAATTTGTTGTATATAAGTCCCATCTCCAGCCATAAATAGATTGTCTGGGTCCGAGTGATTAATTTTTTTGAGTGTATCTGTGTTAAAAAAACAAATTGACATATTTGTGTTTCGTCATATGTAATTTAAAGTGAAATTTATTTTTATCGTAATTAATTCAAAAGGCATTTCCGAAATCCAAAAACAGTGTAAATGGTTCGAGATTAACCCTGACAATCCTCCTAAATTGAAAACATAATTAAAAATTCAAGTATCGGAAATCTACTTCATAATACGAGAACAAATTGACATATTACACTATTTTTGGTGAAATTTGTTTTTATCGTAATTAATTCAAAATGCATTTTCGACATCTAAAAACAGTGTGATAGGTTTAAGATTAACCCTAATAAGCCTCCTAGACTAAAAACATTATCAAAATCAAGTACCGGATGTCTAGTCAACCCGATATAACCTCAAAACTTTAACTATTGATGTCTCGAAAAATAAAGATTTCTGGCATAAAAAGCAGCTAAATGGTAATCAATAGCATCATTGCCTGTCAACTAAAGCTAAAATAATCACTTAAATCGTGCAGCAGATTACTAAAGCCGACCCTTAAGTTTTATTGATTTACTGCAAAAAAAAATTTAAACAATCATTTATAAAATATGATAGTATTATAATTAAACAATATATGATATGGTACATACCATTAGACTTTTTTTTGACAAATAACTATACATCCAGTACTTCATTTGTAAATATGAGCTAATCAAGATATAAATTGAGTTTAGTAAATATGAGCTAATCAGTATAATTGCAGGTGTCTGCAATCAACTTAAACAAAAAGGCGTTTGAGAAGAAACATTCTTCACAGCCTTGTATTTATACCGATTAACCCATATTTGCCAAACTCAAATGAAGTACTGGTTGAGCTGTAATTAGGTATAATACATATGTAAGAGGATAGGGGTATAACGGTCTTGTGCCATTTGCATTCATAGACCTGCATCTCTAATGCTACGGCTACACTACTGTGATATGGCAATAATTATGACCATAATTAAAACAATACCTAGGTGTAGCTACAATTTATTGCCATAATTTTATAATGTCAACCAATATGGCATATGATGGTAGGCAATACCAATGGCTTAATGGTAACAAAAGGCATTCTATGCATTTTTATTATTCACCATCTACTTTTTAACCAACTTTGAAAAGGAGGAAGTATTTAACTCAAATGTTTTTTTATGTGTTTTACCTCAGAACTTTTAACTGGGTGAACCAATTTTAATGATTCTTTTTTATCTGTAAGCTGGTGCTTCTCGTGTGGTCCCATATAAATTTAATCAAGATCTATAAAAGCTCAATTTCGTTCGCTCTATAAAAGTCATTTTCAGTCTATTTTTCCGATCAGATACTAATATGTAGCTTTTAAGTTGTTCTTAAGTAATGCATATTTAATTGACTTCAAATACATTGAAGATGTTCTTATTTTATTCATATTGAAGTCAGTTGAACAAAATTTTTAATTTTACCACTTGTTAACTCTTGGTTTAACTTTGTTAAAATGTAAAAGATTCACATTCTAACTGTAACTGACATTATTAAAGTACAACACTGTTGCTCCTTCAACCTTCATCTTGGAATATGATATTTTTTCCACCAAGTTCATTGTCATATCTAGATAAGCCCTAGTGTAACCTCACTTTTAATTAAGGCAGTAATTTAATGCCATAATTATTATGGTAAATAGGCGGTAGACAGTCAGGTTGTGTGGCTGTAGTTTTACTATATTGTCACTCCATCTACTGAGGGGCTACCCTACACTTTAATTTAGCAATATGAGGCTTCCTCTCAAGAACCTTTCTTCCCTATTGGTTGTCGGACCCAAAAATATTATGGGAAGAATACAAATTCTTGTTTTCAGACAAAATAGACATTTATATTTGGAGTTGTGGTACCCAGTTCATGATATATCTGTCTTTTTTTTTTGAAAACATCCACATTGTCATTGGATGGAAAGACTTGATTAATGTTAGTCAACAAAGAAAGGGTGAAGACTGGCTAAGCATCTGGTTGTATGATGGTGGAATATAATATGTTGTGCAATTGTGATGTTGTTATGTCATTAATGACTGTTGTGTTTATTTATTTATTCTTTAATCACCTTAATCAAAGGAAGCATATGGGCAGACATTGTGATTATTAATTTCCCAAAGATATATTACTTGAATATATGTAACTAAAATTATTTTTTTTCTTAATTTCTCTTAAGAAAAAATAGTATTCGGTATAAAATTTCAGTATATATTAATTTGCACAGTGTTGATTGTATGGAAAATATCAGGAAATTCTAAATGATTCCTGTGGATATAGATTTGACCAACTAATATTTGTCTGGCATTAAATATTCACACATTAGCAGAGTGTTGGTTTGAGTTTATCATAAAATTATTTTGTATATTAATTATGAATATTGAAACTTCCAGTTGGTAATGAAAAGTTCTATGAATGCACAGTTTGTAAGAAGTGGTTTCATGCAAGAAGTCAGGTGGCCTACCATGCATATTGCAATGGGCAACGAAAACCTTATCAGTGTCCAGAGTGTAATAAGGTAGGTATACCTTCATCAACTTTTTAGTATATTGAAAGAAAGAAAATAAGAAAGAAACTTTATTCATCTATTAAAGATGAATAAAGTTTTTTTCTTAGTATTGATAATATAATATCAATAAAAAGTATACTACTTTATTTTTTACTTGATGGCAAATGTGAAACACTATATATATATATATATATATATATCAGAACCTGCCCAGTTCTTCTTTTTAAGTGTTAAAAAATAAATTGGCTTTAAAAGGGAAAACTGGTTAGATTATAAGTTAAGTAAATATTGGAAATTGTAATGAATAGAATCAAGTTTTACTGGGCTAAACACCTAGGCACACTAGAATCACTCCCTGAAGTTGCTCGCAACATCAAAGGACTTTTGAACTTCTTTGGGGAGATTTGATGGCTCAGTTCCATTATTCCCATCCAATTCTCTTGGTGATGATTCATGTAGAGGCAATATTTGAAAAGGAACCAGCGAGCTTCGGTGCTCTTAATCCGGCCCCGAAGGTCCAATTGGAAAGAACCAGCGGGGATAACGTTGGATTAAGAAACAGAAGGGAGGAATCGAGGCTTCTCTCGATCCGGCCTCCTGTAACGCCTACGTTGGGTTCGGGAACAACGTATGTGATCTCCGTAACGGAGTAACACACGAGGGCGATAACCTCTTCCTTTTCAGCGAGTAGGTTCAGACGGGGATTACGGGTCTTCCGAAGTCGTCCCGGTCCCAACGCCTTAATTCTTCGATGTGGACTGTATAATTTTGAGGGATGAATTTCTTGGGAATAAAACAGCAATTATCTTCAAACCGTTCCGTGAGAGAGTAATTACTTTTCCCTATCACTTCCCTACACTTTTCCTTTCTTCTTCTTATTGACTGCTGGTCTTGCACTTTTCCCGAAGTTTCTCCGAACTTCCCCGAACGAATTGCAATAAAACTCATTTACTAAGCTACCCCAGAGCTATACGCGAAAGTGAGCCGCGCCATTCGCGCGCTTGCGCAACTCAATTACATGAATTTGTTCTATTACTCTCTCACGTTTTACTTAATTACTTTATTTGCATAAGTCATACATCAACATAATTTACCTGTATAGATAGCACAAAACAATATCTACACTACGATATACATTACATTTTCATATCACGAAAAACCTATTATTTATTAAATGAAATATGCCTATTTTACTCACAAGTTTGAAGTCGAAATTTCTTAAATATTTAACATAGAAAGTTAAAACAATGTTTTCCACTTGAAATTATACATATGTTAACTAATACAATAGTTTAATTTACATTTTCTCTATTTATTTCACTATTAAAACACTTTTAAATTTCTTATACAAAACTATCATTATTTCACTTATACACAGGAATTTTCACATAAAAATAACACAGAATTCACCTTTTTAGCACGTACAATCAACCTGAAATGTTTTACAAGTCATTTTTACATAAATTGCTGAAATTACAAATATTTAAATTTTTACATATTTGGCCTCCTAAGTACGTGGCTAGCGTGCGTCTATGAACTCACACTATTTGAACAACTAACTTTTGCACGGCTCTCGGCTATCAGAAAAAATGAAAGTCTGATATACACCAATTTTAACAATATTGGGTGATCTTCTAACAATTTTCAAACTGTAGGAAACTATTTCTAATCAGATTCTTATCAGTTATCATGTTTCTTATCAGATAACAATATAAGTGAGTGTTCTCATAAATCAATCATGGCAAATAGGCATTTGTTTTCGTACAAAACATATCAAACTTATATAAGACAATACTTACGCAATTAATTTCCGTTAATTCTATTTATGCACAGAGTGATCATCTCGACCGGGGAACAAATCCGATCTCTAACTTCACTTTAATATTCCTTTGAATTTACATCATTGGAAAGATGATTTCAACCGGGGAAACAATCCGGTAACATAATTTATATCTTAAATTCCTTATGAATTTATTAAGCGATATTACTTAGGAAAACAAATAAACTAGTCCGGCCTGGGAGTCGAACCCAAGACCTTCATATCATTAATTCGACACTCTTTAAGATTTAACTAAGCATTTTCTTATCAGAACCTTATTGGACAATATGCCTTTGAGAAGTTATTCGTCATCGGTTGACTTAATAAACTGAAATATTCTAATAGGCGCGTCGCCAACAATATTATATGTGTCGTATTATGGACTGTGATGTTCATATCCTAGTAATTAGTGTTGAGATAGGTAGTAATGGTCATGGTGTACAAAATTGACAGGGAGGGAGGGAGCAGCTCTTCCAACTAAGTTAAATACATCTTTTTATTTTTAACATGGATCTTAGCTAATTAATTTTAACATCTTTAATAAAAAATTGTGTGGATAAGTAAGTAAGTAAGTAGCAAGCAGCAAAGTTTTTGGGTGCTGCCTTTCCTGTACATCAACATATGCAGGAAATGTTTAAGCAGGGGAATGTCGGTCAATTATTGCATGCATATTTATATAAATATTATTGTACTAATATCAAATTGATTATGATGGCAATAAATTTCCAATGGTAACAATATTAATATGTATCATAAACTAAATGTTAATAAATTCTTCATTACAGAGCTTTGCAACGCACTCTCATTTCAAGTACCATATGCGAGTTCACCGTAATGAACGGACGTATGCTTGTGAGGTTTGCGGAGACAGCTTTTTTCAAATGTCAAAGTTGCAGCGCCACAAGCTAAAACATACAAGTAAGGAAGTTTTTAGTCACTTTAGTATAGATAATTTTAACATCTTCAATATTAAAGCCCAAAATACTATCTTCCCCACAGATTACCATGTAGCAAAACCTTGAGCCACCTGCAACCAGATCCTAACATATTTTGTTGTGGCATCATCGGAACAATTTAGTAATATCGTTGACATCGAAATGATAGCCACTTTTCAGTGCATTGCATCGTATGCTGCATAGCTTCTCTATAAAGAGATTTTCTCATTAAATATACTACATAATGTGCTACAAAGTGACTATCATTTTGATGACAAAGTTTGGGAATAGGCCTGCAGGTCAATAAAACATGTAGGTAGTCAACAGAATGTACTCTCTGGTGTCACCCTACACTGCACTTGCAAGTATAAGCCTGCTACTTGAGAACACTTCTTCTCTATTAGTTGCTAGTTCTTCAAGCTATATGGCCCATAAATTGGCACTTGAGCTTACCATTCTGTTGGACTAGAGCATTTACTTCTGTTCTGTATGTATTTTTGTCCTTTATAGATTTAATTATTAAAAAATACCCCAAGCATAGCCCCATACAAAAATAGCAAGCTCCTTTATATGGCCAACAGTGATCATGTGTTACTTTTGTATTTTTTTTATAGGGTAGGGTGACATATGAGCACATAGTCCAACTGATTGTAAGTGGGTGTTGTGGCCCATCGACATCTACATCTATCCTTGATTACAAATAAAAATGCAGATGCATTGTCACCCATGAGGTCTAAGATGGTGTTGTATTTGATTTTTCTAGTTATTTATTTTATTAGGTTATAATAATAATTTGATATGTTCATTGAAACGCAATTAATAGTAATATTATAAGTTATGGTGGCGCCGTAAGAGAATTCAGTACCCTATATCATCCCCTGGGTGTTTTAGGAGATGACACGGCATACCTGAAATAGAAATGGGCAGCAGCATCTTTCTAATATCATCTTAAAATATTATAAAGCTATATACAGTTGCCAAACTGCCCGCTAATTACTATGATTGTGAAAAATAGCCCCCCCCCCCACACATAACTGTGGGGGAGGCTTATGTTTAGCAGTTGGCTCTTGATTAGCTCTAATGAATGAGTGAACCACAGCTGCTTAAACAAGAACGCGTTTTCGAGAAGAATGCTTTGAACCTCATGCTAAATAAATAAATACCCTCACTAAAGTTTTACTCTGTAAACTATTATGGATTTAGCTAACTCTTTTACTTGGTAGAGCTACGCTGCAGCTGTATTATAGGTATAGGACCGGGGTAGGACCACATTCTCACAGAACACCAGCGTAAAATAGCAGCGTAATGCCGCTGTGTTTCGCATCTGCATGTTGCTTCTTTGTCACCCTTATTCTATAAAATATAACATTTAAATATTCTTCTGATATTGTCAATTCATATTATAAAACTAGCTGTTCCCTGCAACTTCACCCGCTTGTTATTTAGATATTTTTTTTGCGTGGAACCCTAATTTCTTTTCTAAAATAATTAAGCCTATGTTACTCCTTATAACATCAGCTATGTGCCAGTGATAGTCACGTCAAATTCAGTCCAGCTGTTTCAGAAATTAGCTGGAACAAACAGTCAGATTGACAGACACATATGGACATACAGACAGACAAAAATTTTAAAAGTTGCGTATTGTTATTACTACCATATATACTTTTATATGCATTTATTTAAAAGTTGTTATTTTGACATTACAAACGGACACTTGAATTTTATTTGTTTGTATGGATATATAGACTCGTTTAAAATATAGCATAAGTAAAAAAAAATGAATGATTCTTTCAGAAGAGAAAAAGTATGTTTGTACAGTTTGCAACAAAGGTTTCAATAACCTAACATCGCTGCGTAAGCATGGTCTCACGCACACCGAGGAGCGCCCATATCAGTGCAACATATGTGCTCGTCGATTCAGGGATGGCTCTAACTATAGAAAACATGTTGCGAAGCACGACAGTAAGTATATGCCATCTTTAGTATATAGATACTTAAGTATACTATTTTTATGATCACAATAAATGGTATAATCCGTTTACGGAAAATTTTACTATCCATTTATTTAATTCCAAATGTTCTATGTACACTAGAGTAACAAAATTCTTACTATGGCATACCCGCAAAAAGTTGTGATAGGCTCAATACGCAAATGCGAACATATTTTTATCTAGGTTAATATATAGTTTATATGCAAGTGCCAACATAGTTTGAAAAAAAGATGTTGTCAATGCTAATTTGCTAATGCAAAATTTTATAAAAAATCTATGAAATTGATCTTTTTTCTTAACGCATTAAATCATTAGTAAGCATCAATTTTCAGTAAGTTGTGTGTTTCAAATATAGGTATATACAGGGCATTTTTGTAATGCTCCCGAAACCGAAGACAGACTATAGTACTAACGATACCGTTGACGATGTAACCAGATTAAAATCGATCCCAATGAAAAAAAAAATCTTTTCACAACGTTTTATTAGCTTTATTCACGCTCCATCATGTTAGTACAGCTAAATGAAACAATATTTTCATAAAAAAATTCTAAAATACTGAAAAATAAAACCAGCAGTGAAAATTAAAATGGTACCAGCTGATTATAGGCTCAATAAACGCGCGGACGCTAAACTCTTTATTTAGCTCGGTACGAAACCATAGAATAAATATGACGAAACAATGCATAGGTACTTCGCTCACTCTATCCTACCCTTTCACACACGCGCTGCCGCCACCCGGCTAACCCGTGTCGCCTCGTAATTTACAAGGCCAACATCTGGAAAATTCCTGCTTGACCGCCCGCCGCGATTACTCCAAGGACAAAGGACACACGAACTACGCAGTACGCATTTGTTTCAGCGGGAATTGATTATTAATTTTAGTTTTTGAGACAGTTCTGTGTCGACGTGCGCGTGAGCCTCCTGTTTGTACTAGCTTATTTATGGCGTGAGCAGTTCAGTTGTTTTGTGTATTAAATTCTTGTTGTTATTACTTTAGTAGTACGTGGGAGACCATTTCATCATCGTCCGAATCAACCACAACTGGAAGATCCATGGTGGCTTCCACCAGTGGATGCTGGTCTGTCGCCTGAGGAGCCGCATCCCCAGTCATAGCCAATTCATTCGATGAGGGAATGGCTTCACGTCATAGTCGTCTAGTTATTACTTTTATTGTTACGTTTAGTGTCTTTTTTTTTTAAAATGCCTAACGCGTACGTTTATAGTGCTCATGAATACGGCAACATGTTAACGGGTCTTGGAGAAGCCTGCGCGAATGATGCGGGTGCGTAACGAATTTACCGAAAAAAATTTCCGACCGCTCGACACCCAACTGACTCTCGTCTGATATCAGCAGCATTTTAGCGAGTGTTGGAAAATCGGCCAATTGCTCCAGTAGCGGCAGGAGGTGGAAGTCAAGTGACTGTCAACTTTGAGGAGCGCATTTTAGATGTCGTTCGCCGGAATCCGAACTTAGATACACGAAGTATTGCTAAATTGCACAAAGTATTAAAGCATAACCGAATGCGACCATACAAAGTGCACAAAGTGCAAGCTTTAGTTCCAAGCGATCACGACCGCCGACAAGTTTTTTGCCGTTGGCTATTAGACCAGCAACAACGTGTACCTGGTTTCACTGAGCACATCATCTGGACGGACGAGTCAACATTTACCAGAAACGGCCTGTGGAACCGAAGAAATACTCACGTGTATTGCGAGGTTAACCCGCACGCTATTCGACAAACCGGGCACCAAACCCGATGGTCAGTTAACATATGGGCAGGTTTATTTAAGGATCGCACACTAGGACCAGTGTTTCTGCCACAGCGACTTAACGGACAGCGATACCTAAACTTTATAAATAAACAGTTGATTGACATTTTGGACGACCTATCGTTCTCCAGCATGATGGTGCACCTCCACATGTCGTGAGGTTGTCCGTGAGCGCCTCACCGAGCTATTTCATGATCGCTGGATCGGCAGACTAGGACCACACACTTGACCACCTCGCTCACCTGATCTCACCCCGTTAGACTTCTTTCCTGTGGTGGTATGTGAAAGAAAGGGTTTTTAATTGTGAGTGTGATAGTGCTGACGAAATGCGCCAAAGGATCGTGGATATTTTTGACAAATTACGTGTGGACTGTGTCGAAGACCCCACGATTATGTCCCGCCTGCATGAGGAGACGCAACACCGAGCCCAAATCTGCCTCGAGATGAATGGGGCACAATTGCATGTCATAAGTTCACGGAGGATTTAAATCGGTAACCTGTTTAATAGTTATTTTTTTAAATAATTTAGTTTACTTATAACTGATGTGAATAGGTACGTAACTGAATTTATCAAAATAATAAACAGTGGTGTGTAGTGTAGGTAACACGATGTATAAAAAAGCACGACTATCCTTATTTAAATTTCATTTAAGTAAATTTTTCATTAGTGGGGAATCGAACCAGGTGTTTGGTTTATTTAACCTGTGAATTCGAATTAAAGTGGGTGGAGACTAGCACAGTGGCAAAACAGTAGATTAAGTGGATAAGTTAGGCATTTAGACAAGTGTTGTAAATTATTAGGTACTGGTACGATGTGGGCTGCGTGTCGGCGTTCGGCGTCGCGCGTTTATTGACCTTTTATCAGCTGATTTCAGGTATTTAAGATTTATTTCATTGTTGGTTTTATGTTCAGGTATTTTCATGAATTTTTTTTAACGAAATTATCGTTTCATTAACTGTACTAACATGATAGCGCGTGAATAAAGCTAATTAAACGTTCTAAAAAAATTATGTATTGCATCGGGATCGATTTTATTTGAGTCTCATCATCAAATGTATCCTTAATACTATCGTCTGTTTCGTTTTCGGGAGCGTTACAAAAATACCCGTATATATATTTGAAATCTATGTTTCAGTCGCTGCATTTTACATCTGAATGAGGCTGTAAAAAGTTTTATACTTTTTTTTTTCAAGATTATTTCGTGCTTGGGCACCTCAAACCATTATAATATTCAAAAGATATTTAACATACTTCATTTTCTCATCTGAAGGTAACTTTTTACCACTATGCTATTACAAATTTAAGGAAAAATAAATCTCCATACATTTTCTGTGTCATTAAAAAGTGTATGATTACATTGGATACATTATTAATTATATTGTTGCGTGAATAAGTCAACGTCATACACTAGCGCCATCTAGTGTCAGGAACGAGAGCGAGGGGAGCTTTGCAGAAAATGACATCACAAATCTTTCAACCGACAGCGCCTAGTCGAAACTCGAACGCGCGGTACCTTGCGCGTGTTTACTTGAACATTCTGGATATTTCTTTGCTAATTTATATAAATAGGCGCTGCAAGATGCGATCGAGGCAGTGTTGATTTGGCGAGACAAGCGAAGCTTCGGAGCGGAATAAATGAATTAGTGTGTTTAATTATTAGTGTTTTAAGTTTTAATTTGTATAAAGTAAATTAAAGTGTTAATTTAGGTAATTCTATCGGCAATTTTTATTGTCACGAACCTCAAGCTCGTAACAATATGTATGTATAATAAATGTCGCGTTTATTTTCTAATAACTTGTACACCGGCGACGAGGTTCGCCACCCGTCACATTCTGTCTCCCGAAAGAGCGAAAAGTGGATTGCAGAAGGCCCGTCTGGCTACGCTGAATATATGTGGAGTAATGAATGATAACATGGATGAAGTTTGCGATATGATGTATGGATAGAGGAATAGATGTGTTATGTGTGAATGAGATGAAGCGGAAGGGAAAGGATTTCACTACATATATGACATGTATACCGCGTACTGGTCTGGCGTAGACGAGATCAAGCGGGCTTGCCAGAGAGTCGGTATCATCCTTTCAGAAAGAATGGGTCAATGTGTGAAAGAGTATGAATGGGTAAGCCTGAGACTGCTATGTATAGGAATGAAAGTGGGCCTAAAGAAGTTGTTTGTTCGTGGGGTCTACGCCCCAGACGTGTCTAAGCTCCGAGAGCAGTTTTGGGAGATGGTAAGAATGGTGTTAATGAAATGTAAGGAAAATGAAAATATTGTTATGTTAGGAGATTTTAATGGAAGGGTTGGGGGGTAAGGAGGCTTGGCTTTGAAAGGATACTGGGAACGTTTGGTGATGAAAGTATAAATGAGAATGGAGAAAGCCTCCTCACCATTAGTGTGGAAAAGAATCTTTTTGTTACAAACACTTTCTTTCGCCACAAAAGGATTCACATGTATACTTGGAAAGAGGCGATGATAGAAGCATGATAGATTTCAAAATTGTGGATGAAAGAATGAGGAGTGCAGTGATAGATACAAGGGTATACCGGGGTCCAACGTAGGAACGGATCATTTGGTTTTATGCCGAATTAATGGTTTATTCAGACGTTGGCGCCATCGGACATCTGTGTCTACGCGTCAGCTAACAGAAAGGTTACAAGATGAAGGTGAGAAAAACAAGTACAAATGTATACTGAAAGAAAATATAATTGGTTTGGATGAATTATGTATGAATGAGTTACACTTTGAGAATGTATGGCAAAATGTTAAGATTAAGAAAGGTTTAGTGGATGCAGCTACCGAAGTATGTAGTGTTGGTAAGAGAACGAATGAAAGGAAAAATAATACGTTATGGTGGGGTGATGAGGTACGAATGGAAGTTGAATCAAAGAAGAGAACACGGCTAGATTTACGAGCAACAAAGGCTGATATTTCTGGCGGTACGAATGATGATATTGAAAGAAAAAAAGGCAGTCTTTAAGCATCTCGATAAGAGAGTAAAAAAAAGTAGTTGAAAGGAAAAAGCAAGAAAGAACGGATAAGAATGATAGAAGAATATCGGATAACTTCCAGGCAAATATTGAAATGTTCTGGAAACTCGTAAGAACTGCCAGGGGACATTAAAAGCAGCATATGATGAATGCTATAAGAGACGAAAACGGCTATATTCTGAATGATGAAGTTTTGAGTTTAAAGAGATG